GACGGTTGACCAACAGTCAACTTATTTTCTTTCTTTTCAAAACGATTTAGGTGTTACGGTTTTCTCATGAACTCTTTGACCACCGGTCAAACCAATTTAGACTTTCACCGAAGTCAAACCACTTAACATTTATTTCCTATGACGGAGATAGCCTCAATCCGTAATACCGAAGATGGCCTCAATTCGGTGGAGGTAGGATCCCTCGGGCGATGGCCTCAAACCCAAGATCACAAACCCTCGTGCGCACGTCTTAACCTCACTGACCAGGCCCTGCAGCCGCCCGAGCGATGGCCAGTTTCTATGTTCAACACAATAAACCAATTGATGTTAATCACCAATTAGAATTAATTAATTAACTTAACTAATTCATTAAAGTTTTGGATTTAACCATTCGGTCAAACCTACGTCAACAGAATATCCAGTCAAAGTCCAAGTCAAACAGGACCTAACCCAAGTCAAAGTCAAACCTGTTAAGTCAATTCACAATCCTCAACAATTCAATTCAAACAATCAATTTAATTCAATTAACCAATTTAGCCAAATTATAGCATAAACACATATAACGATCCAAACCATTAAATCTATTCTGAATGCTATTAACTTCATAGTACGGACCTGGATTACGTCGAAATTGAATCGATAGCTCGAACGGAAGACAAATCAACGAAATCAACCGAACGGGTCAAATCGAGCCAAAGTACGAAATCGACCAATCAATCCGGCGTGGAGGTTAATCTTCCGGCGATATCAACTCGGGGCAGCGGCCGGATGCGGCGACGGTGACGGACGCCGGCGACAGTGGCGGAGCGGCAGCTCGACGGCGGTGAGCAGCGACTGGCGGCGCTGCACTCGACGGCGGCGGATGGCCGCTGTGCAAAGGGCGACGACGGCGCTCGATTGCGGCGAAGGCGAGGCAGCGGCGGCGCTGCAACTCGGCGGCGCTGCAATCGACGGCGGCGATGAGTGGCGACACCGGCGGCTGGCTGCTCCAGTTGGACGGCGACGACCGGCGGCTGGCTCACGGCGGCGCTGCACCAGTCGGCGATGATGGCGGCGAGGCTGGGGAAGGCGACGGCGGCTCCAACT